AAAACCTACACACTAAGGGGAAGACGGTGATTTTTGGAGGTGATCAGCAGCACGGGTGCAGGAACTGAGAACGTGCTGTGTGACGCGCGCGCGCGCGGGGCGCATGAAGTAACAACGGCCTGCTCCTGACACAGAGTGCACTAGATAACTCTGGTAACTGAGACGGTCGGGTCTGCCGGGCGCACCGCGGGCAGACCCGGACGCAACGGAGGATCGGGGGCGAACAAGACGGAACAGCTGACCGCGGAATGACACCACACGCCGAAATGCACCATTGGATTCTATCGCAGGACGAATAAAGGCACGCAGGCAAGCAGAGCGCACGAACATTTCAACGGAGGCGAACGTCTCTCCTCGCCGCGCGCATTTAGACGGAGAGGCACGCGAGACCAAGCGGTCCAGCAACCATACAGACTCGCACTGAGACAAGAGACCCGCCGCTTGGCGCGGTACAGCGGCCACACACACGCACACAAACGCCTCCCGCGGCGAGCAGAGACGTTCCGCCAAGCCTTAACGCCTACCTTAATGCCGTTCGAATGGGACACGGTGGAACCGAACACGAACAGAAGCGAAATGCGAAGCGACCTTACGTCTAATCACAGCCGCCCTCGGCCGCGCCGAGGCTCGCGCTCGCACACGGCACAGCCACGCTCGCTCCACACTCGATGAGGTCAGGAAAAACGGCACAGATTGATAATCCAAACGTAGGCCGATACACACGGCAACGAAACCGCCCGACCCCGGCGGCGGCGGCGGCGGCGCGACGACCGCGACGCGCCGCCGCCGCCGGCCGCGGCCAGCACGCGGCCGGGCCGGCGCCGCCCGGGCGGCGGACCCGGCCCGGCCGCCGCTCGGCCGTTCTCTCTCGTGCGCGCTCGGCCGCCTACCCACTACCGCGTCACAGCCCGACTTGGGACGGCCGCGCCGGGCCGCCCGCCTCGCTCTCGCGCTCTCGTCTCTCTCACGCCAGTCTCGTTACACGTATGTATGGCTAGTGATGCCGTGCGCCGGCCGACGCGAGCCGGGCGCACGACCCGCGGCCGGCGGGCCAGCGCGCGCCGGCCGGCCCGCTTCCTTTCCTCGCTTACACTCGACACAGACGCACCCAATGCACGCAACACCGCGCACGCGCACGCACGCTGGATGGAGAATCCACGAGGCCTCCTTTGCGACGGCTGCTACTGCGATACACGACGGAGAACGGCGACCTTAGCCTAGGGACGAACGACAGCGCACTGCTGTAGCTCTATGTACAGGGGCGTAGGGGCAGCGGGAGAGTTGTGCGTGGAATATGCCACCTGGGCAGATACGGACTAACATGGGGGGGGGGGGGGGGGGGACGGGCCGGGTCGACCTGCGACGTCAAAGGTCGGCCCGGCCGGCCGGCGCGCCGGACGCGCCGCCCGGGCCGAGAGATTTGGTAACTACCGTTCGCCGACGATACTCCCGCGAGGCACCGGCGCAGGCCTGGCGACCGTGCCCCGCGGGCAGGAGGTGGGGCCCGGGTGGCGGCCCGCCGCGCGCTCGGCGCGGTGGGGTGGGCTGGCAGGCTGCGGTAACTGAACGCCACAGGGGACGAGGAGGGGTGAGGGGGCGGCGCTCGCCGCGAGGTCACGATCCGGGGGAACAGCGTCAGGAAGACGGCGGCTGGAGACCACTCTACTGAGCTGAGTCGGTGGGCACTGGCCCCGAGCCGGCCGCGGCCGCCCGCCGCGCCGGCCCGTCGTCGGACCTTGGACGAAATCGATAACCTTGGCGGAGGTTGCTATGGTAACGCCGGCGGCGACGCGCTCGGCGCCGGTTGTCGGAGCCCGTGCTGCTGTGGGTTATCCGCCACCCCCCCTCCCCGTCCTCCCGGAGATGGTTTCAGCGCGACAGCGGAACACAACAATGTAACCCGAATCACCCGGAAATGAACTCATAAACCCAAATCACCCGGAACCCGGTCAAGCAATCGGGGCGCGCTTCCGAAATTTTTCATATCCCCCATTCTCTTTTCACGACAAAGGAAATCACCCCATCGACCCACCCACCGTTAGGACGGGGTGGAGGTCCTGCCCAACTCACCCGCATCCGCACTTTTTCTTGTCGTCAGTGTCCTTCACCACCACCACCAGGCGTCTGTCGCAAGTTCCTTACATTACCCACACCACAGACCCCCCCCCCCCCAAACGTGTTGCGTGCGCCAAACCAGATGGGTTCCCCTCGCACCGGGAAAATGACGCTTTTTGTTCATCACCCCACTATCGTTCCCTCAATCCCATCGCGCTAAAAAAAAAACCGAAGCCGCAAAAAAACCGACATTAAAGACCCCTACCCGGGGATGGAGGGGCACGGGGCAGGGGGAGGGAGAGGGGCGGGGGGGGGGGGCGGGGAGCTGGAAGCCCGTGGCAGCCGGTGCCGATGTTGCAGGCAGTTAACGCCGCGGCGTAGTAAACAGAGCGGCGCGCCCATGGCACGCCTGACCTTGGCTCGACCGCAAGGGCGGCGGCGGCCGGCCACGCGGGCCGCCGCCGCCCGGCGCCCAGGCGCGAATGTACAGCAGCGGACCCACCACCAAGGCACCGGGCAGCGCTGACTAGACTACCACACTACGACTATGACTGCCGCCACTCGGCACACGCCGCTCGTCGCACCACGCCGAGCACCGGGCGGCGGGCGGGCGCCGGGCGGCCCGGCGTCCATCCGCCACGGGCCGGTGCGGGCGCCGGCAGCGCCCAGCGCCCGCACGCGGCCTGGACACAATTCGGGGTCGAGTGTGCGTGTGATGTGCGTGTCTGTGTGTGTGTGTGTGAGAGCGTCCTAACCAGCAGGACGGGGCGGGGCGGCCTGCAGTGCCGCGGCGCCCCGCCTGGCGGCAGCCGGCCGCGCTCTTCCATGCGGCGCCGGCCGGCGGGCGCAGCACCAACAGCTTGTACTACCTCAGGATGTTGTACTCCCTCCGTCCCCGCGCGGGGGACCGCCTCCACACGCGCGCTCTCGCGCCATCACGAGAAAGCGCCCGCCGACCGGCGCGCGCGTCGTTGTACATAATCTCAGCTGGGCCGCCTCTCGTTGAAGACACGGTTGTACGCGCGGCGCCCGGCCCGCCCGCCACGAGATCTCGGCGGGGCTGGCCTCCGGTCGTGACCCCGGGTCGCGACCCCAGGCCAGCGCCGGGGGAGGGGGCGTGCGCGGGGCCGGCGTCGCCGAAAGGCAAGCTATGTCGACCGACGGGCCCACGCTTACAAGGAGCTGGTAATTTCGAGGACTAGAGTCAACAGCGGACATCAAACCACGATCAGGAGCGACTAGTCGGACGACAGACGATCAGAGCGATTGGTCAGACGACAGACGGATGTGCGCATGCCTTGCAAAATCAAAGCCAGTCGGGTCACCGTGCATGCAATGAACGATGCCACCACCAGTCAACGTATTCCACACCGGACAGGTTCCTGCTGCGAGATGCCGACACGGAAGCGCCAACAGCACCATGCTTGCATACGGAAAACCGACCCCTCACCCTGATCATTCAGCCCTTCCATCCCCCGCCGTACGGCACTGGCACACAATGAGGCCGCGTGAATATTACGAAAACGAAGACTAGGTCACGGCACCGCCGGGCGACGCCTGTGAAAAGATTAGAATTTCTGACTAAAATGCGTTCCTTGTTTATGAACTAGATCGACTCATACAGAAGGTTTGCTTCTTTCTTGGTGAGAAGACTGTACCGGGATTTTCGTTGCGTCGTGTTTTGGGTTTATTTTTTTATTATAACCTGCCGAGACGATTTGTGCTGCGGCAGAAGTTTTCAACTTTACTTGTTATTGTGTCATTTGTTACAAAAATATCTCGTCGCATGCAACTTCCACCCAGTCACTACCAACTAACCGGATTAATGTGGTGCTTTTTGTTTGTTACGCTTACAAGGCTGCGGGCGGGCGGGGGCGGCGGAGTGGAAGATGCCACGCAGGCGCGCGGCGCAGGCACACACCCAGACAGTCCGCAGACACCGCCGGAAAAGACGACTCGTCACCGCGCCGCGCCCGCCCCGCCGTCGCGGCTGCTATGTACAGAGACCTTACGCTAGTCACAGCCGCTCGGGGGACCGGAGGCCGGGCGCCCGGGGCGGGGGCGAGGCGCCGCCAGCCGGGCGCCTGGGCGCCCGGCGCCCGGCACTGCCGGCCGCGCGCCGCCGCCGCCGGGGGGCGCGCGCGCACGGCCGGCACGCCGCCGCCCCGGCGCCTCAGGTACTTTAGCGGGATCCACAGCGCTTCGCACAGCAGGAGCTTGTCGGCTCGGCTTACAGCTATCAGGTACGGCTCACACACCCACACCCACACAGGGCACGGACAGGGTGTAGGCCTGCATCCGAGGCTTACGGTGATACGTCTGATTTCCGCACGCCCGGGCATCTGTGGGCGGTGCGGTCAGCGATCGGCGACGCCAGCACAGCGCCCACAGATGCCGCCCACCACGGGGACCGAAAGGGTGGCATCGACTGGCCAGCAAGCGGTCTACTGGCCACGGCGTCGACTCCGGCCGCTGCCGGCTGGCACAGCGCGCGCGGCGCGGCGCTCGCTCTCTCGCCCGGCGCCGCCGCACACCGCAGGACGGGCGGGAGGCCGGGGAGGCCGCCGGCTCTGGTCGGCGGCCCGAGACAAGGCGCCGGCCGCGGCACCCAGCTCACCTTACCCACTAGTTTGTACTTAATGCCTCCGACAGTCCCGCCAGCATCAGACACAGGGCGGGCCCGGCCACCACCGGCTGGAGCGTCCGAACGAACAGAGATCGGGGCGCATGGGCCGGCGGCCGGGCGGCGGCGCCCCGCGCGGCCGGCACCGCCGGGGGCGAAGGCGGCCCCCGCTCCCGATCGGCACCCACCGCGGCGGCACGCCGCACCACCACTACGGCCGACCGCTCTAGGCACGAGCCTTTCCGTCTTATGTACACTTACAGGGGGTTTTGGGAGGCGCTGGGCACGGGGCGCCACCTGAGCGCGGAGGGGTCGCGGTCTGCTCTTGAGACCGGTCGGCGTCGCGCCGGCCAAGTGACCGGCCGGGCGGGGGGGCGGGGGCCGGGGCCGGGGGACGGCCGACACCCGACTCAGACCTCACGCGTCAGGCCACGCTGGGCGCTTCGAACACGGCGCGACGAAGACGACGGTTAACGCGGCGGTGAACACGGCGCGAGCCTCGGACCACCTCAATCCCGTCTTATCACACGCCCCCTCCGGTGCGAGCCGCGCCGACCGAATGTCGACGCGGCCCGACAGGTTTAGTTTGGCAGGCCGGCACCAGGCTCGGCGGCGCCGGCCGGCCCCCGAAGGAGCGCGGCTGACGGCGCAGAGCCGGCGCCGGCCCGGCACAAGTGCAGAGAAAATACGCTTCTTTCTGTCGGCGTCACAAGACAAGTCACAAACACACGCACGCACACGCACACACGCGCCGCACGCGACCTATGTACAAAAATACTGGCCGGCTGCGGGGCCTGCGCAAACTGCTGAAATCCAACGCAAAACTGATACATAACTTAACACCGAGACTAGGCAAAGCGCGGGGCGCACCAAACAAAATCAACTAGTGTCAGTCCCGTCCAAAGGCCAAGCGGACGTGCCGCGATGCGAGCGGGCGCCGACCGCGGTGGCGCGGCGGCCGGCGCCAGTCCGTCCTGGCGCCGGCACGCGGCCCGACCCGGCCCACCGCGCCATGCCGCGCCGTGCCGTGCCGTGCCGTGCCGTAACGTACCGATCGCGCAGCCGCCTTACGCTAGGTATCAAAACATAAAAAATCGAGCGCGTCTGCCGAGCGGTCGTGTCTCTGCGGCGGGCCCAGCCGGCCGGCCGGCCGGCCGGTCTGTCGATCTGTCCGCCGGTCGGCTGGCCGGCGGCTGCTGCGGCCGCCGCGGCTCGTCGGCGCCGCCGTCGGTCGGCCCCTGGCCGGGACTCTCACCTCGCTCGCCCACGCACACATTGACCTAGCCGGGAGGCCGGCATTACGCGGGCGGCTCGACGCGTTGGTAGAAGGAGAGCGCCTTCACGAAGTGGTTCTCCAGCGCCGTGCAGAACGGACAGCTCACCATGTGGCTGTAGTCCGAGAAAAAGTTGAGCCGCTGGTCGGGCGCGATCACCAGACACTCGCACTCGTTGCACTGCAACAGGAGACGGCGGGCGGTCAGACACACTGCAGTCGCCATGACACGACACGACCGAGAAAATGTAGGCACGACCAAGCAAGTGTAGTCGTGCAAAAGTACAGTTCATTTTTGACTGAAGTGGCGTACTTGGCATGTGTGTACAATGACAGCGCGCATGAAATTAACAAACTGACAGACATTTAGCATCCCATAAGTAATAACACAACGGTAAATAAGCTATGAAATTAATAATTTCAACGGGCGGCAACATAAAGCAGGCTCCAATGGACCGTATCACCGCCAGCAAGGCCTGAACAAACCAATAAACATAACCACTGCCGCAAGACCGCCGATACAGCGTCCGCTATCGGTCGTGAGCCGGCCATCCTCTCCGGAGCGAGCGACCCCGATACGACATTAAAAATGACGCCGGTGATAGCACGACGTCGCAGCCCGGCCACCAAACGCCGACACAGGTGCACGCCGCGACGCCACCGCTTCGAGGGTGGGGGGGGGGTCATTGACACTTGCCCTGACCCAGAGGCCTGGCTGCGCAACGGTGGAGCTCGGTGCAGCGCGGCCGACGGGCGCCGCGTCGGCCGTTCTCACCGGTCGACGTCGCATGGAAGGCCGCACTTTCGGCCCGGCCTTGGGCCGCCAGGGCGCGCGCGCGGGCCGTCGGCCGCCCTCGGCGCGCCAAATCCGGCGGCCGCGGGGGTAAAAAACCGCGCTGACCCACTTTCAGTTCATTCCCCCGCGCGCGCCGGCGCCGGTGCAACGCTTCATGACGCAACTACCTACCCCTCCCCAGCCCCCGCGCCAGGCCGGCCGAGGCGATGGCGCCCGACGAGCCACAGCCCGCGGCGGGGCGGGGGAGCGAGGAGCGACCGGGAGCGACCGGCGCGGAGCCGGAGCCCGCGGCGCGGCAGGGCGGCGACGGCGGCCGGGGTCCGAGCCGGCTGTTACGGCCGCCGCCGCCGCCGCCGCCCGCCGCTGATCGGCCAAATGTCAGCAGCCCGGCGCGCCGACCGAATGGGGGCACGTCGGTCCGTCGCCGACGGGGCGGCCGCCGGCGACGCGGAGCGCCATAGAAATCTCGTTAGTGATAAATGGTCGCGCCGGCGCGCTCTGACGAGATTTACTCCAACTCGCCGGCGCCGCGGCAATTTACCGCGATGAGCCCATTGAGGTCTTTGAGCGGCGCCGGCAGCGACGAGAGAGCCCACCGGTCGCCTGGCAGAGGCGCTCCTATTAATTACCCGGCGGCGCAGGCAGCAGGGAGAGCGGGCGCGCGCCGGCCGCCGCCGCCGGAGAGCAACAGGCCGAGGCCGGCCCCGCCCTGCCGCGCGCCCTGAATGGCCAATAAGCGACACAAAGAGGAACACGACCCCCAGGGCGGGGAGGGAGAGGCCCCGAGGCGGCGGCGGCGGTCGGTCGTGCGGACCAGCCACCGGCGGCGGCGGGGCGAGCCGCGGTCGCGCGGCCTTTGTCGCGCGGCGGCCGCCCTAATTGCCGGCGTAATTGGATTGTAACGCGGTGGAACGCCGGAGCGCGGCCGACCGCCGCGGCGCCGGGCACAGCGATAACGCGCCCGTTCCGGTCCAGCTGCACGGCACGCACGTATCAGGCCATCTCTCGGCCGCCGACAGGGTGTCAGCGGCGCAGTGGCGTCATGAGCGCGCCCAGCTCGACTCCCGGGCCGCGCGGGCACCGATGACCTGATGGTACACTGCCGGGCTCCACATGGGACCTTGCAACCGACTTCGCCGAGTCCCTATCTAGCTGTGAACGCAGCGACCAGTACGTTATCCATAATACCGCCTCCTGATTCCTAAAGAGACTGCAACTTGTGAAAAGCAACTGCAGGCATCTGCTAAAACCCGAACAGATAATGTTAACAACTAAGTTCATCTGGTCACCTTTACACCCATCGTCGGAAAGTGTGAAGCATATCGTTAAAGGACGCTGGAAAATCCCTGCCGTCGCACGCTTGAGTACCCGAGAGACTACTGGGTTCTCACCAATCTCACGATGCACTTCTCACTACAAGAGTCGGAGGGCGCCCGAGGTCAGCGACCAAGGGTCAGCAAGGCGCGCGTGGCAGCGGCAGACGGACAGGTCATCCACCCGCCGCCTCTCGCCGGCCATGGGACGAATATCGCGCCGAGAACAATAGCCAACACGGCCATTCACGCCGGCGCGTGAGGCAACACCGCGCCCGCGCCGGCCGGCGGGGCCACTTTTACCGGCCCCCGTGCCGGCCGCCGCCGGCGCCGGCGCCCGGCACGCGCGTCTCGAGCCGAGGCGCGCCGCACGCGCGTGCAAGACGCCTCCGCCGGCGCGTCCTGACGCAACAGTGACGGATCCTCGTCGATGACGTCAGGACGGCTCGGGTCGTCGGTCGGCCCGGGCTCGCCTGTGGCGCGTCTTTGAGCTCGATGGCGGGCGCCAGCGCCGGGCGCCGCGGACGGCGCATCCGGCGGCGCACGGACAGACGGAGAGCGATCGCGACCCCCTCTCGTCACGCATGGGTTCCCGCGGGTCTCCGCGGCCCAGTTCGATCCGCGTGCGAGCCGTCCCGGCGCCGGTGGCCGCGGCAGCTGCGGCCGCCGGTAAACAAAGCGGCGCTGATCGGCGATGGCTCGAGTCTCGGGACGCCGCGGCCACCGGACCACACGCAGCCCATTACACGCGACTGGTAACAGCAGCGCCATTAGCATAATCGTAGGAGGCAGCGTCGTCAGCCGCGCAGCCGGGGAGGGCCGCGGCCGGCGCCGGCGCCGGCAGGTGCCGGCCGGCCCCGGCGGCGACCGCGCCGGGTCGCCGGCCTCAAACCAGGTCAAGACCGCGCCGGCCGCGGCGGCCGACCGCAGCGGCGGGGTATGCACGCGGCGCGGCCGGCCGGTCGGGGGAGCAGGCGGCTCCAGCCAGCTGCGGCTGCGGTTTGCCGGACGGACGGACGGCCAGAAGGCTCTCTCTCCTGCACGCCGGCTGCAGACTCGGCCCGCGCGGTGCCCGCGAGCGTGCATGTCCCATCGGACAGAGGGGAAGCGCGGCGGAGGAGATGGGCAGAGCAACAGGGCGAGGAGCGAGAAACGGCGCAAAGAACAGGGGAGGAAAACACGATACAGCGACGTGAGGGGAACGGACAGACCAAACAAGAAAGCCGACACCAGGGCGTCGAAATGGGGACGAAGGGATGAGAGGGCTCCAGGCAAACAGAGCGGTAAAAAGACGGGTGCAAACAGACCCAAAATAACGCTCGCAGAGCAAACTCTCCCCTCCCCGTCATCTGACTGGACCAGCTCGCCCAGCACGCGCTCAGTCTCTTGCCGGCGGGCATGCCGGCGCAAACACCACCCGTCCGGCTCCTTCAATCAAACGGGGCCGCGGCCTTTCGAGCCCGCCAGCCCGCCAGCCGGCGACGGCACGTCAACACGCGGCGTCCGGCCCAAACAGCCGCCGGCGCGCGCGCACACACACACACGGCGCCGGTAAAAAGCGCGCCAATCGGCCGCGCGCCGGCCACAAGAAACGGCGCGAGATGCGGACGGCGACGGCGGCGTCGTTAGGCGGGATGACGGCGCGCCAGCTGGGGACGCCGAGACTAATGGCGCCCTGTGTCGGCGCGCCGCGAGCCGCCTCGCTGCCGGCCACACGTGGCGCGCCCGCCGGCCGACAGCGGCCACACGTGGCGCGGTCAGACGCCCACACGTGGCGCACGCGATGGCCGACGGCGGCCACCACCGCAGGCAGGAGGGCGGAACTTTACGGCCGCGTCACTTCCACACTTCACACCCACTCGTCAAGATGCGCCAGCGTTGCATAATTGTTGAAGGTGTTCCGTTTGTCTGGATTCCCCCCCCCCCCCCGCGTACGATGCTACGGCCCGGCCAGCATTGTGTTATGCTTAACAACGGTACAGGCGACGCATTCTGGACCGTGAGTTCGCCACCGTCTCGGACACAAACACCGAAGCCCCCCCTCCCCGAACCCGCAACCGAATTTGGCCGCGCATTCGGGCTCCGGTAGACCGATGTGGCCATACGCGCGTCTGACCGGCAGCTTCGCCAGCCGCACCTTCAACCCGTGACGCCATCACGCGCCGCGTCGGGTGCACCGGCCCCTGACTGAGTGCCAAATAATGCGCGAACGCAGCCGCCGACGTTTTCCGCCCCCCCCCCCCCCCTCCCCGCGCCGCCGGGCGGAGGCGGGGCGAGGCAGCCCCGCCCACCGGCCGGTCGGGCGGACCGTACCTTGAGTCGCTCTGTGCAGCAGGGCGTGGCGGCGAAGATGTCGAAAGTGTACATGGTGCCCAGGATGAGCTGGGAGCCGTCCCAGGGCTTGGCGCAGCACCGGCACCGCAGCCGTACCGTCCAGCCCTCCAGACAGCCCATGCACACGGCGGACAGGTACTGCACGCGGTTGTCGTACCGCACCTGCAACGAAGCGATGACGCACGGTCAGCTCAGGTCATGTCACACGCGTTAAGTTACCTGGGTCAGGGTAGAAGGTTCGGTGACTCAGGTCAGGGCAGGGCAAGTCATTTCGTCCCGTCAGGTCAGGTCGGGCCAGGGGTAGGGCACGCCATTTCGACACGTCAGACCAGGTCAGGTCAGGTAAGATGAGGTGAGATGAGGTAAGGTGAGGTGAGGTAAGGTAGGGTGAGATGAGGAGAGGCGAGGCGAGGTGAGGTGAGGTCAGGTCAGGTCAGGTCAGGTGAGGTGAGGTGAGGTGAGGTGAGATGAGATGAGGTGAGGACAGAGCAGGGTGGGGCAGGGCCGGTTTTGTAATGTCGGAGCGGACATCAGAGCAGGCGGCGGAGTGACCGCGATGAGCTAGAATAGCTGCGACGGCGACCAAACACAGCTGTGGCGCTATGTGCCCCGAGACGGCGCGCTCATGCACACAGCTGATGGCGCGCCGCTCTGGTGACATAGCCGCATGCCGCAGCCGTTTATACAGTGGCAGCCACAGTGCCAGTGAGCTTTGGGTGATCGATGACCACAGCTGCCGATACGCGCCAAACTAATATACAAAATGACAAATACAATCATGCCGTAAGGGCTTCTTACACTGCGCACGACGTACTGGGACAAGAGAACTGAATCCAGACGAGTTCTCTCCCTGTTGCGAGCCGCCAGCCGCGCTGTCTGCCCCCCGCATGGCCCACTAAGCAAGACACGGAGCTTAGCGACCACACACGCACGTCTTCCCCTGGCACTTTCCCGCTGGCAGAGAGACGAACAGCGTCCTCGCGCGCGTCACGCCGATCCAACGCCGGACGGGCAGGTGGCACACGAGGAGCGTCGCGTCCACGGCATGCCAGCAATGCCAGCGCGCGCGTCTCGTCCCGGCCCGGGCCGGCCGGGCTTCGGACGCCCGGCCCGGGCCGCCGGCGAGAGCGGGACGCCGCCGGCCGGCCGGCCACCGCGCGTTCATCCGGGCCCGGCCGACGGGCGACAGGCGCACAAAGCCGCCGGGGGTCCCGGCGAGGGCCGCCGGACCGGCGCCGCGCGGCCGACACCCGAGAGGCCGCGCGCCTGTCCGATCAACAATCAGCCGGGCGACGCTAAATAACCGGGCCGGGCCGGCGCGCGGCAGATAGTCGGCTTCGGCCGGCGCCGAACCGGTCGCCGTATTTCAGCGGCTTTGGAGCGCAGCAGGGCGCGCCAAGGTTGGACGTGCCCGCCGGCCGTCATGAGAACCCATTACGCTGTCGGCGGGCCGTGGCGCGGCCGCCGTTCGGTTCCAGCCCGGTGGCCGGCGGGCGACGGCGCGCGGACGTGCGCCGCACGCGAGACGTGCCGTGGCGCACGTCCTCGTGACGCGCGCGCACGCCACGGCGACGCGTCCGATCCCGGCGGCCACGCGGGCGGTCCAGCTTGCAGGCAACGAAAGCAAACACGGGCGGCGTGAGTTGCGAGAAGCCGCCGCACTCGGCATGAAGTGGAGGTAGGCCAGCACACAGGCCCTGTCGCCGCGCGGCCGCCAGATACGCCTCGAGCCGGACAACTCGCTGCGTCGTCCTCTGTCAGTCGGCCCCCTGTAAACATCTGCCACTGCTCCCCGCTGGCAGCGGCCGTGTAAACCCTGCCGGGGCGACACTGCATGTCCTCGGAGATTCCCACGTCACGGGCCGCGGAGGCAGGGGCGGCCCGAGCGCGCGGGGCCGACCGGCGCCGGCCGACTGGAGGCGCGACGCCCACCCCGGACCGGACCAGACCGGACTGGACCATGTCACTAGGGGTCGCCAAGTGTCGCTAGGGGTTGCTAGGGGTCGTCCAGCGGGCGCCAGTCCCGGACAGGGCACCGACAGCGGTCGGGCAGCGGCGGTGCCGCCCACCGGTCGGCAGAATTTCGGTCAATATTTACACGAGTCGGGGCGCGATCCACCCGGCGCGCGGCCCCCGAGCGCGCCGGCCAACGGCGCACTTGGTCGCCGCGGCGGCGGCGTGCCAGGGGCGCGGTAAACACGAACCAGCCGGCCCGGCCCGCCAGCTGGTGCGGGATATGGCGGCTGCAGTCACCGGTGGCCCCTCGTAGCCAGGCGGCCCGCTGCCGTAACTAAGCGGCCTGCTGCCACCGCTCCCTTCTGAGGCGTCATCGGCCCGGCCGACAGCCTTCAGCTACCACAGGTCCGTCACACCGGCCGGCATCCAGCCCAGTAACCGGCGGCCGGCCGGCCGGCGGTCTATGGCGGAGGCGGTCTAAGGCGCATTTACGGCGCGGCCGTTTTTACCGGCCGTCGGCTGTTTTTGTCGGGCCGTCTGCAGTCGGCCGACCTTCGTGTTCCATTAGTGCGTGTGTACCTGCCGGGTCGAGTCGGGCCGAGCTGGGCCGAGCTGGGCCGGGCCGGGCCGGGCCGGGCCGAGCCGGCCAACGGCGTAACGTCGCTCGGCAGCGGAGGGTGGAGCGGGGGTGGGGGGTGGGGGGGGGGGGGAGGCAACATGCCCCGACTCGCTCGGCCGGACCCGAGCACGGCGTGCACAGTCGTGCACAGCCGTGCAGACGGCCGGCCCGAGCCTGTTTGCCGGCCGTGCAGCCGGCTGCTGACCGCAGAGCCGATAGTGGCTATCGCCAAGGCCGGCGACAGCGGCGGCCCCCGGCAGGGCAGCAGACATCTGCGACCGAGAGCGGCTCGCCTCGGGACGTGCACTGGTCGGCCGCAGGCGGCCGCTCCGACCATGCCGTCGCCGATGCCGCAGATCATCACGCCATCATCACACCGGCACCGTGCTGTGCATCATGGTGGCGATGCCAGGCGGTGCGCGATGGTCGAAAGTGATGATTGTCAACGTGATGACGGCGATGATGACGACCAAACACAGCAGCGGGGTACACTCGACGCCCCCCGACCACGGCGCCTCCTCACCTGTACGCAGGCCCGCGAGTGCTGTCTCGGTCCGATGAAGAACGTGCCGTCGATGATGGGGTAGCGGTCGTAAACGACGAGCGAGTCGCCGCAGATGACGCAGAAGGTGCGACACATGCGCGCCGAGGCGAGCGACGACAGCAGGAAACACCGGGTGTCGTCGTTGCCCTGGGAGCCCTCGTCCTCCATCTGCGGAGACGGCGGCGGTCAGTAAGGGGACGGTTCGGCAGGCCAGCGTTAGAGCGCGCTGTTTTCATGCAAGTTGCAGCGCCACACCCAAGTTTGTTAGGCTCATCGCATGTCGTCGTCACCCACATGGCTGAATAATACAAACAGGAAACTGACCAAACATATCGCATGACGGGACCCGCCGCTGCCCAGCAGGCAATGTCAACAACGCCTCCCAGCGGAGCAGGGAAGTGTCATTTGCGGATGCAGACTACGGTGCGACGCCAGCGGGGCGCGTGCGTCACCTAACCACCAGAAAAGGGGCCAATTTTCCCAGAAAGGCCGCCCATTCCAGCGAACCCTGGGCGCGTTCCAAGATTGCGCGACCGTTGTTCTGCCGGCAGGCATGACCGCTTCCGGCACCCGGCTGAGTGCAGCAGCTGGTGGCGGCGGGAGGGCCGCCGTCCCGTCCGGCCCGGCCCGGCACGACCCCGCGTCACGCGAGCGGCCGCCGATGTCGGTCAGCGCCGCACCTGCGCAGCCGCCGCTGACGTCAGCCGTCCGGCGGCGTGCTGACCCGGCCCGCGGCCCGCGACCCGCGCCGCCGCCGCCGCTGCGCAGGTCAGCGCGCTCGGTCAGCGGCGCCGCCGCACGGCTGACGTCAGGCCGGCAGCAGGCAGGGGCGACGCCAGGCACTGGACTGGGTGGAGCATGCGCCGCCGGACGGCTGACGCCACGCCGGCGGCAGCAGGGGCGGCGCCAGGCACTGGACTGGGTGGAGCATGCGCCGCCGGACGGCTGACGCCACGCCGGCGGCAGCAGGGGCGGTGCCAGGCATCGGACTGGGCGGAGCGGGCGCCGGGCGGCAGACACCACGCCGGCGAGCGGCAGGGGCGGTGTCAGGCACTGGACTAAGTGAGGCGGCGCTACATTGGTCTCCCCCGCGCAACACCACCGGCATAGTTGTCGATGGGAAAATCGGCAACACGTAACCATGATCGCCAAGATGCGATACGTGCTTTTGACCTCAGAGGCAGAGACCAACCAACGAGAAGGAAGCCAGTCCCTGTCGCCCCACAAACTGAGGGCGCGCCCAGCTCAACTCAGGATCATTCCACAAGCGCTACCGAAACCCACAAAAAAGACAAACGTGGCCCGCAAACCAAGACGGCAGAGTCGGCCTTCAGCGCGACCGACTGGCTGAACCGGAGCGCGACAAGCGGCTCAGGACGCGTGCAAGAAAGCGGGCCGTCCACGGCTGGCGACGTCGCTCGTGGCACGAGACGAGCCGCCGCCGCCGCGCCGCCGCGTCGGCGCGCGGAGGGCAGCCGACCGCAGATCAATATCCAGCCTCTACCGGGTTACAACAGCCCGAGCGGCGCAGCGAGCGCACGAGGCGACAGCCCGATCCGGAAAAAATCAATCTGCAAGCCACCTCAGCTCGCCGCCGCCGCCGCCTTCGTCACAACCACTCCCACAGGGCTCTGCCGGGGATGACGGAGGCGGAGCGCACGCGGCACCTCCGGCACCTCGGCCTTCCCTCGGCGACGGCTCTTAATCGCAACGATCAACAAACCCATTACATTTAAGTACTCGCGAGAAGGGTTCGGATCCCCGAAATGGCATGAAATCTGTCCACAGGGATCGGCGCGCACGCCTTCCCCCGTGGCGTGACTAATGAGACAGCAACACGGGCGGGGCGATGGGGAGGGGCTGGCGCAGACACAACAAAACCCTCCACGTTGCGCGCGGGGAGGGGCGGGCGGCAGCGGGAGGGGGGGGGGACGCATGGCCCGCAGTCGTGGCCGCCATGCTCCAAAACACCCACTCAGCGGCGAGGCCGCCGCCGGCGGAGGCCCGGGGCGGGGGCGCCGCCAGCCGCTGTCACGAGCCCAACGCCCAAGCTCAGCACAAACTCGACGCCTGGGACTGTGGCGCTCCCCCCCCCCCCCCCCCCCCCCACTCCGCCGCCGCAGTTCCGCACGAGGCCGCACGGGCCTGCGCGGAGCCCTGCACGGTCCGCGCGGCCGCGGCCAGCCCCGGGAGGGGGTGGGGGCGGGGCGTCGTGCAGTCCGAGCGCGCTGCGCCGTCCGGCATGCAACATGTGAGCAACTGCGCGGCGCGCTGACCTTCACGCGACCTCTGGCCGGCCGCGTTTTTAAAACCGGCCGGCCGCGGCAGCTATCGCAGATTAAACACGGCTCTGAGTGAGTCACGCGGTAGTGGGCCGACGCAAATAAGACGCCACACCGCGCAGGGGGGGGGGGGGGGCGGGGGGAGGGGGAGGGGCGCCGCGACGGACGGGGGGCGGCAGCGGACGTCCGCTGCCGCCTCCGGTCAGCAGCACCTCCCCAGTGGCTGGCAGCCGGGGGGAGGGGGAGGGGGGAGGCCGAGGGGGCGCGGCTACAGTCACGCTGAAGCGTCAGACTTGTTGTGGCGGAAACAGTGAGGGCTCGAGGGGCTTCAGACCAGAGTCTAGTGAGTTGTGGCATGAATCTCACCCAAAAGACGTCAGTCATGACGGCCAAAACGATCGACGCTGAAGCGAGGCGGAAGCTTAATAACAGTCTGGAACTAGGGGCTCGGTGATCTGACTGATGCAGGCGGTACGTCAACACGCTTCACATAAGAGAGCCGGACGTTTCCACATCCGAATCTGGTTTGGGCTGATTGAGTTAAGATGACCCAACATCACAAGCCGTCCACAGTGAGTGTCCCGAAATTAGCCGGTGTTGAGCAGACCCCCTGGGCTGAGTTACGAACGCACGGGACGCCAAGTAACACACCGAAAGCCCGCCATGACGCGTGATCTATACTGCAATCCAACTCCTTGGTCATTCTCACGAGAATTTTCAAACACGCTTGATCGAAAAATCCACAAAGGATACCAAACCTCAGCTTGCTCATGGTGACAGGGAAGCGAGGAAACGAGAGGAAAGACGAACCACGACTTCTCTCCCGCCACGCCGGACCGGAGGCACGCCGGCCTAGCAAACCGCCGACGGCTCTCAACCGACGCCTGTTTGTCGGACGCTCTCGTGCCGGCGACAATTTATGTCGGGAAGGGGACGGGGGGGGGGGAGGGGTGAAAATAGAGCACATTTCCTGCGGCCGGCCCGCCGGCACACAAAGGAACATTAAACGCACGGTGGAACCAAGAGGCTCCGCTCCGCACAAAGGAGCGCGGACGGCAGCGCTGCTGGACACCCGCCGCCGCCGCCGGCGCCCGGCCGCCGCCCGACCCAAATAGCGATCAGGCTGCGTGGGCTCTGGGCTCTGGGCACCGCGCGACCGCGCGCCGCACCGCCGCCGCGCCGGCTGCGGCGCCAGCCAACGCGCCCGCTGCCAAATTAAACCCAGGCATCGCGGCGGGGCACGGGCATGGCAGGACATTAATCTGCGGCCCGCGGTGAAATAGGGCGGCGTGGGAGTACATCACCGCCGCTGTCTGCTGCAGCCCTTCCACAAAGACCCCGGCGCACAAGTGTTCCACACCGGTGGCAGACGGTGCCAGCGCGCCTTTCGACGGACTACCGTGTCACCTCAGCTCAGGGGTGATGACACGGCTACGGTGCGGACGTGACAACGAAATGCCCGCTGGCATTTGGAGCGATCAGAAATTATTCAAAATTGTTCCTTATATCGGTTTTGGAGTGCGCCGACTGCTGAGGTCGTCTTGCGACGAGTTTTGTTATAAATACTGAGACCTTACGTTCAATATGAAAACACGTTTAATTCATATTCGACGTGCTTGCGACGCAGACCCGGTTCCGGGATCTCCCTTGCAAACTCCTCATATGCCACTCAAACCTGCACCACTTGCGCCCACGACTGACCCGGGCAGCGCCCCCCAATTCCTCGCGCTATTCATCAACGTGCGGCACCACTCCTTCATCGCCACGCCGGCTCCGGATCCAAGTTTTCGCATTACCGCGTCGTCCGCGACGTCACGAGCAGGGCGGCGCCGCGTCGGTGCCGACGGGTCGCCGCCAGCGGCCGGCTCGGCGCTATTTGCGTCGCGGCCGCGTGTGCGCGGATCGACCGATGCTGGCATTGGCGGCCGCCGAAGGGCGCCGGCCGCCACCAAAGGCCAGGGCTACTGGCGGCCGGGCCCCGTGCCAGAGGACGGCCCCACGCTTCCGGGGATCGGCAGACGCGATGGCGGCGTGGGAGCGGCGCCGGCGACACCGGCTCGGTGGGGTGGGGGGCTGAGGGACAGGCGACCTGGCCCCAGTGAGGCGTTTTCGGACTCATCCACAACAAAAGGTGTAATGGGGAGCAGGGCCGTTCAATAGCGCATCCTCGGCATCAGCCTAGTCGCGGGTGCCGCGCCTTACAGAACAATAGGTGCTGAAATATGGTTCATTGCTTCGGGTGAACCAGCCTGCAGCGAACAACCCTATTGTTGTAATGAAAACCGTGCGCCAACAAGATTTCACTGCCCCAAAATAGGCTTTCGAAAGTGTCTGCCCCGGGCTGCCGTGCTGGCAACACCCATCAGACGCTCAGTCAACCAACACGCGCCCCGGTATCGCGTACACACGGCCATTATTTATCGAGCGGGCAGCTAGGTCCCCTCGCGCCCCCCACGGGCGCTGGGCTTGGCCGGCGGCCGGCCCCGCCTATCGATTCGGCGGCTCCCGAAATGACCTTGGCCGTGGCTCAAGGACAAACTACGCAGCGAGACGGCGAACGGCTGGCAGACGGCGCCGCGGGGCACGGCGCAACCCGGAAAACGAAGCCAGCTGGCGCCGTATTTCCGCAGAGGAATTGAAGCAGCCTTGAATAAATGGCAACGAAAAACAGCATCGAAATAGGCCAGGACTTGATAGGAAGGGCAGTGAAGGAAAACAAGTCAAGACACCAGACGAGCACAAATGTCGCAAAACTTACCTTGATGTGATACGAGTTGATTTTGTGCTTTGGTAGGATGTTGAAGGAGCTGAAATCTGCTCGGCGGGCGAAAATTCCATTTCCTCCAGAATTGTGCCTGCATAGGGAACGACTAAGTGAGGAATATGTTGCGACATGCCCACGTAAATGCGCATATCAGAGCAAAATCCAACCAAACAAGACAGTGTATTGACACTCCGGACCTTTTGAGGAATGCAGTGGTATGACCAAACAACAGCGGTTTACAGGACACTTAACAAAGACCCAGGCGGCTGAACACAGTCCTTCCATAGCGAAACGCTTAGAACCAACTGGAGCAAGAAAATTCGCGTTTGATCACTAAGAATGTAAAAATCCATCACAGGCACGGATATTATTACATGCCATTTGATATGAGAAGTTCATAAACACTCACCTAAGGCGTTCTGCGAAGAACTCGTTCTTTGGATTGGATCTCTTGCGCACCGCTTGATAATGTTGGGGACTGTGTGGCGACTCTGACCCAGACGATGGCGGGGATGATCCAGTAGACCCCAAGCTGTTCGCTCGTGATCTGCCGTTACATCCAATAGCCGGCGTCTGGATGGTCAGAGTTAGCACAGGCTTGTTGCTTTTGTTATGCTTCTTGCGCCTCTTGGTGTTGTCTTCATCGCCTGTTTTCGCGGCGTTTACCCAGTCGAGATCTTTTTTCAAATGCCCTCTGCCGCAACGGCAGCCACAGGCCTTAAAAGCGAGGTCGTACCCTTTCTTCGTCCACAAATTTTGATGACGCTGTTTTTCAGACCACGACCGTGCGCGTCCACAGGACTTGAGGTATGTCAGAACGCTCTCTTCCCAGTTATCAAAACACTGCCGGTGCATATACCCCGAGAAAGGGCACTGTTCGTTGTTGCATAGCACCTTGCTGACACCCGTGCGATCTTGAGGATTCAGGGCGACATCGGGTGTCAGGCAGCCGTTCGGCACACAGCAAAGCGTCGACTCGAAGTTCTGGTTCTCAATGGTGGCTGGGTCTAGCCTCTGCTGGTGGCCAATCACCAATGCGACTTGGTTGCGACGATTATGCGGCATCTTCCCTCTCACACTGGATCATGCACACCTCACAGCCAAAGTTCCAACTGCCTCCAACAGTCCTCTTCACATCGTCCCGCCCTTCTCGCCCCAACGCCTCTTCCCCGACTAGCGGCCGAGGCGACCGGCCTCCCTGTTTTGATTCAGCCGAGGCGCGGTCTGGCGCGGCCCGCCATGCGCGGCCCACCGTAAATGCAACGCGCCACGCGATTGGCTGGCGCGCCGATGATTTTAAGACCACGTGAGGTTTGTCCTTGAACGCTTGCCAGCGCTTTACGAGAGGGAAATAAATTTACAACTGGGGGGAGGGGGTTCTATCAGCGAGGCACGGGTCCAGGCGTTGAATGACGCTTGTGTAGCCGGGTTGTGCGCCATGTGCGCTGCAGAAAACGTAGCCTTGAGCCCGGCGTCTGCCATCGATCGCCCCACGTCGCCTGGCGCGGCTCGGGACACACGTGGCCGGGGCGAAGAACAAAGAAACGGCGGTCGCCGAGGCCCATTTGAGAAGCAGCTCATGAGATGTTCGCAAGCTGACATCGGTTAACTAAGGTGATGGATGCAAGCAACATCGGACGAAAGCTTAAGCGAAATAATGCTCATAGCAGCAAAAAAATGCTGGCCGGCGGTCAGCCTCATGAGATAGATGTCGAAATCAAACATCGGTTGACACAATGTGGTAAACGCAGACGACATCGGATAAAAGCTTCAGCGAAATGATGCTGCTAATGCTGAAATAATGTTGCTAATAAAGCTCATAGCTAGAAGCATAATGCTGGCCGGCAGTTAGCCTCATGAGATAGACGTTCGAAATCAAACATCGGTTGACATAAGGTGGTAAATGCAGACGACATCGGATTAAAGCGTTAGCGAAGTAATGCTGCCAGCTAGAAGCATGATGCTAGACAGCAATCACTTGGTTCAAACCATTCTATAGTTTTTATGTAACCGTCGAAGTTTTGCCACCCTGGCACACGATTTGAGAAATTAACTACGACAAAATATGTGCGGTGAAAATCGACAAGCAAGTAACTATGTATATCGCAGCGCAATATTTAGACTCGACCCAAATGGGGACTAGGTTCGAGCGCGACCTGGCCCAACAACTTCCGTGTTCTGTCAAAAAGCAGGGTGGCCCTTGTAGTAAATTACGCAATTTTGTAGTAACCAGGCCAAACTTCCGCGGTTATACCCCCGAAAGATAGGATAAACGATTCGACTCCGACAGAAGTGTGTCCAACCAGGGAGACGTGGGAAAACCGCAAAAAGTAAGAAGTTAAAAAAATCTTAAATTTTCATTAAAAAAAAGAAAAAAAGTCTTGTTTTGCATTACCTTACGGCAAATGTTAATCTGACAAGAAAAGCAGATCGGCCGCGGACGACCTGGCCCATTTTATCCCTACGTCCATGCCCAACTGGGGTTTGCTTGATTCTGCACGAGTACATATCATGGTCAAGTACAATCACGTAAGTCTAGTCGACCAGCACACATCAGGGGACGATGTGCATAAGCTTGAGATGTTAATGGCGTAGTTAGATGCCGGTAATTTTAGTATTGCTTAGCCATCACTGTACCTCATCGCTCAATAATGGCACATAGATCTAACAGTCATAATGCTTAGATGCAATAATTCGAAGTATTTCTAAGTCAGCGTTATTTGCAAGGCACCCTATAGCATATATGATTTAATATTTTCTGGAACAGGGTGCCCATGGGATATTTTTGCCTGCTCTTAGCTGATCTCTGGCAGGAAGTCTCGGGAATCGCAAACCCAGTGGCCTATCTATACCAAGCCGCATTTAGCCTGTGCCGTGCATAGGCTGTTACTTTTCCTTGTTTTTGTGCCTGCCTCTGTCTTTTACTTCGGCTGCAAATTTATGCCGCTGCTTTGCGGCTCAGTTTTGCACATGCTATGTTCCTTTGCTAAGCTTTTCCAGAACTGTAAAGTAAGGAAGACTAAGATTTCACTGAATTCGCATGCGCATGTTAATGTGAGCAATAATTACATTTTCTCGTGCAGCATGGTATTTGCCATCGCCGTGCTTGCCAACTGACGACTACAACCGTATTATCACGCTTCACGTAAACAAGAAAGGACTTCAGTTCCTTTTTCGGTGCGAGATCGAAGTTCTCAGGATGAAGTTAAGCTATCTTCAACATGTCGGGACGTACTGGTGAGGCATCGCTACGAAGCAATCACTGGCTATATTGAGACAACAGATTAAGCGGCATTGCATCGTGTTCTTCTGTATGTGGCGTTGATTGATTAATAGCATTCAATAAAGTGACGCCACACTGAGAGATACTTAAGTAGATGCACAGCTGTCATTTGATTATGATGTGGGGGACATTTACTAAACAACCCAAGCACCGGCATGTCATTGATGCATTCTCCAAATCCACTCTGGAATGCTGCTTCGAGCTATGCATTGTTGTCTTCAAGTGTTCTCGTCACCAATGACGTTATACTTTAAATAAACCCGAAGCCAAATAATGCTGAGACTTTTTGTCCAGTAAAAAGCGTTTTGTGCATTAGAGGCTTGATATTTAAAGCAGAAGTAGGTAGGCATATTTCAAAACCTCATCGTATAATCAGCATTTGCCTCCAAACAAAGGAACACTTTGTCTCTAAATATGAATACTTCATTCGATAGGAATCTTCAGTACTGCACCGAACCCACCTCACGGACGCACGGTACCTTAACACGCGCCCGGGTGGCCGGCTAAATACCCTTCGCTCGGGATGGGGGGGGGGGGGGGCAATTTGATCCCCCTAAGATCTCGGGAACAAAGAAAGGTAGAAACACTAAATTTACTGGGTGTCTTGACCTGTACGTGGACTCATTAAGATTAAAGTTTGATATTCCTAGGTAGCGACCTCCAGGTCAAATAAGTTCAAACAAGGTCGAATTCCAGGTTGGTCTCCAAGGTGCCCCCAGAACCTCGGCAACTGTTTCTAAGCAAAAGGTCACAAGCCATTTGAGATCAGTGACCTTTTTGACCTTATGAAGGTCATGGTGACTAAAATCATGCAAGACTGCTCTTAGTTTTGCATTTGAATAAGCGACAAAGATTACGCTGGGCAGTATGCTCCTAAAACAAAATGTCGACCCGGGTCATCTCAGGTCAGTGACCCTTTCTGACCTTAAAGAACTCAATGAAAGATGTATAATGCGGTTCCTGCTGTCAACACATTCGAAATGAGCACCAGAAACTATCCCATACAAGAAACCCTAGAGTAATAAATCAGGTAGGTTTTGACCTTGGTTTAACCTTTATGCCTGACCTTAGGTCAATGCTATTTGCTCATTCAACATTTTTGGTGCCTAAGAAAGCATGTCAGAAATGTATGGCCTCGTCAAACACTCCGTTGTTGTATCAGATTGAACGATTCCCTAGAAATTGCCTTTGCTAAAACTATGGCCTGACTTTGGCCTGCGATAGATCAGCGACCTTACAAGGTACACCTAATTTTTTAAGTAAAGCGATCCACTATTTAATTGTCTACAGCTATGCAAAATTTGGTGCAGCTACGCCGCGCCGTTCGGAAACCATGCTGGAAAACCCTTTGGGAGGATCAATTTGACCCCCACCCCACCCAAGCGCGTGTTAATACCGTTTCCTAGGCCCCTGACCCCTTAGCGACTAAGGAGTGCACCCTGCCTACCTGTGGTATCCATGGTCCCTACCATCTTGAATGCATGACCATTTTGTGACTTATGATAATTTTGACCCCTTGAAATCTTTCCGCCACCCCATACTGTTTTTTGACGGAACTGTTTCCTGCTAATTTTCGATTCCCCAGTATATTGACCCCGAAGCCTTGTGTGCGTATGAACTTTTGTAACCTTGATACAGTGGACGCCTTGGGTGTCTTGAAGACGCCCTGGTCATCTCATTCGTGCTCCAACCCCCGTGCTGCTCCATCCCCTGCAGCCCTCCGGCCGCTGCCATGGGATTTGAAAGTTCGCGTAGAATCTTGACTAGAGACGCAGCTATTTCAAAACGTCACCTACAGCCAGGCTCACCCCGGCCAGCTAGGAATGTAGCTGGTGAAATACCGCTATGCTACAATGCTGAGCTGGCATTGACCCGCAAGTACCAAGTTACTTGCACTCTGTGCTTTCCCATTTCTTCTTAATTCTGGACCTATGCATAGTGTGCATAAATTGCCATATCAATGTTATCTAATGCACCACGTTGTTTGTCTGAGACCAGGGATGTTCCTTAGACAGCGATTATCGAAGTCCCTGGACAACGAAAATTGTATTGTAACAAAGCACATCTTAAACGCTATGGACCCAGTTTCGTACTACAAATGAGACGGGAGATGGGTGGAATTTGGAATGGCTTATCACCAAAATGTATCGGGTATTTCGCCTTTTTACCTCAGTAAACCATAGGCTAGGTATTCCACGCTTGCATTCATGAACTGATGGCTTTGCACTGACAGAGAAAAGAAATACTGCATATTCTGGTAATGGGAAGCTTCCTCAGTTCATTACACTATATACGGGGATAAACACCATTTGAGTGCGTCACAACAGCCGAAATGCCATTACCCGCATTCAAGAGCCAAACGCAGGAGCTGATATGGAGTTTGCTGTCCTCAAGTCGGTACGCCATGCAACAGAACGGGAATAAATGCTACATAATAGCTTTGAAATTATTCACATTTCCCTCTCAGCAGTCTCCATATTTCATTGCACGATCAACCATCCAAAAGGCTTGCGATACTGCATACAAGCAAAGATGGCAATGGCACTTGATCCAAGAATCTTTGCTATTCAGGCAACATCAATCACGTGTGATCATGTCGCATTCCACTCCCACAAAATTTAAATATTGCTAAATGCCGAAGCAAAATTTCTGCGGAAAAGCAGTTTGAGCAAATCATGTCTATGACCTCTATTCACATTTTAAGTAACCTGCTGTCCGTAACGGTCTGATTTACATCGACTGAATGCCGTCAGCCGTCATACCTTGAGCTGGATTCTTTGACACGGAGCTGGATACAGATGCAGATATTGGGAAACATGGAAAAAGTAGAGACCAAAAATCTTAAAGAGATTGTTAGGTGGAAAACCAATGACAATCAAAGCAATGTTAAACTTCTTCGTAAGAGACCCT